AATTTTTAAAAATATGATATTAGCAGTTATGGTTACTGTTATGCCCTGCTGCTGAAAAATATAAATGTCAGAGCAGAAGATACCTGGATCTCAGATCTTATTGATACTAATGATCAGACGTGTCCTTTACACACTAGTGTCAGCCAACAACCAACTAAAAAACTCCAGAGTTAGTCCTGCTTGAATTCAAATCCCTGTTCCATCACTTACTAAACATTTGACTTTAGACAGGTTGTCTGTCCTCTGTTTGCCTTCATTTTCTTGTGTATACAATATAGGTGATGCTAGTAGCTATATCATAAAATTGTTTTGAAGGTCAAATGAAACACTCTTGATAATAGGAGCACAATTCATTCATTTATTCATCCATGTGTCCACTGAACAAAGGTTTCTTCAATGCCTACCATGTGCCAAGTACATCTTGGTGCTTAGAATACATCAGTGAAGAAATCAATGATACTTCATGCAAATGGCAATGAGTAGGTGTTGTGTGTTGAATTGTATTTTCTCTTCTTTTAATTTTTTTTTGGCAGAACTGGGGATTGAATTCAGGCCCTTTTGCTTGCCAAGCAAGTGCTTATTCTACTGAGCCATCTCCCTGGCCCCTCTTTTTAAAATTTTTTTAAAAATGTATTTAGTACAGGGTCTATAGGGCCTCACTACACAGACTGGACTCATAGTGATCCTTCTTGTTTTTCAGCCTCCCAAGTGTTGGGATTACAGACATGCACCACCACGCCCAGTCTCATTTGCCATCTCAGTGTGCCCAGGGGGCCGGACATGGCAGGCGCTTCAATCCACTGAGCTATCTGGCCGGCCTACGTTGAACTGTATTTTCCCCAAAGGAATGTTCAGATCCTAAATCCCAGTAATTATGAATGTGACCTAATTTAGAAATGAGATCTTCATAAATGTCATCAAATGAAGATCAGGTCATAATAGGTTAAGGTGGGCTTCTAAGCCATCAACTGGCATCCTCATAGGTGAAGAGGAATTAGGCACACAGTCACACACAAAGGGAACACAGCTGACAACAGCATATGGGTTATGATATATGTTAGCTCTTATCTATATGGGTTGTGTAGATATTATTTACATGTAATATATGCTTACAAATGTATATTTTTCATTGCTTTAAGTATCTCAGGTTTGAGGTTACTTAAACTAGGATCATATGCCAGGGCAATCACAATAAGCCTATTTGTCTGTATGATCAAAGAGTAAATCACCTTATCCCTCTGGGTCTTAATCCCTTACTCGATAAAAGGGGAAGATCAGGGTCCATTGTATAACTGTGTGATTCTATTATCACCAACTGTCTTGTTGCCCTAATATTGATAAAGGTCCCAGAGAAGAATAAAGGGGTTCCTGTCTTTCATACTGTTCCAAGTCCATGCTAACTTTGAATAATAAAACTCTCTGTCCTCACTGTTGTTTATTCCCTGCCTCTTGTAGCAGATGAAGGAGTGACCTGCTGCATTTAATAGAGTGGTAGCAATTCCACAGCAATCTTCTGTGCCATTTCTCAGTAACATGGGACTAAGGTTGGATTCCTTATTAGGAGTCTGATACTCTACCAGATATAAAGATTTGGAATTCTGAGTTTTGGAATTCCAGCCACCTTTTCAAAGCATACCTTGAATTATCACGATTAGTGTGTTTTCATTAATAATTTAAGAGAGTAATAAATTTATAGGGTAAGATAATAGTAGTAGATAAATGCACATAGAATTTACTGTGTCAAGCAGTCATCTTAAGATTTTTAAAATATTAATTTAATCCTCACAACACTCTTGCAAGATGCATTCATTACTTCCATCTTTGAAATAAGGAAACTAAAGCACAGAGTAATTAAGAAAGATTCCTTCAGGGGCCAGGGAGATGGCTCAGTACAATAAGTGTTTCCCTGGCAAGCACAAGGGTCTGAGTTCAATCCCCGTTTCTGCCAAAAGAACAAAAGAAACAAAGAAAGATTCCTTCAAATATCAATAAGGAACTCTCACATCATCCAAAACTAGAGGTAATGTTTAAGGTAAGTAAAACAAATGATAAACAAGAAACACTTTGGATGTTTAGTACCAAGGAAAGGTTTGTCAAGATTGCACAAACTGATTCTGACAGGGCCCATAATAAAACACAAGCAGGCTAACATTAGGGCTCTTCCTCTCTCCAACGTTTGTTGACTTTGGTTCTCTAAGAAGGAAAAGAGACTGACACTGAGGCCTCAGGGCACCCAGTGCAACTGTGCCAGCTCCCAAATGCCTGTTAGATCTGGCTCCCAAGAAGTTTAAACCATATCCTGGTATTGTCCTAGGCCACTCTTTTTTTAGGGCTTGATAAGTTAGATTGTCACTTCTTTAATGTGCTTAAACCTCTTTTTACTTGACATCCCAGAGCCAATATTTTCTTTCACTTTTATGCTTCACGAAAATACTAAGCCTCTCTACAAATCTCTTTTCTTACTATTTCAGATATCCCTTTTCAATCTGTTTCAGGTCAGACAGCCTTGACCAGGCCCTTTGTGCTGACTGAAGTGTATGGATTGGGCAAACAGGCTAATCAAAAGTCTGAAATCACGTATTTGTTCAACGAAGCACTGTGAAAGAAACCTACAATATAATAAAAAATGTGAACATGTCACCCAAGGAAATTGTGGAAGTTGCAAGGAAGCTTTGCAGCATGAAGGGAGTATTTGGGAAACCAGTAAAAGGAAACAGTTTTACACTCCCTTAGTGTAGAGCTTGTTGTCCCCAACAGGTTTTACACTCCAGTACCAACCAGAGTGGTTTGGAGAAATTCCTGAGTAATGAAGTTCATAATGAAGACTAGGGACTGACATAGAAATCCCATCACCCACTGAGGCACAGCTTGCAGACAGTGTTTTGTTAACAGAAGAAAACCCTTGTGTTGACCTGCATAGGGTATGAGGGTAGAAAGGTAGGGAATGTGTCCCACATTTTTAGGAACCCTGAACCAAAACTAGGTGACCTTCCAGAGCAAACCTCCAGAACTTCCTGTTACTAACAAGATGCCCCAGGATTAACCCCCCTGCTACTCCTTCTTCAACCTCCTATGTCATTGTCCAGGTGGCTTTATGACTCACATAGACCCCACTTGTGGGTGGGGATGGCTCACTGTCTTTGCCCCTTCCCTTCAGAGGACTCCCTGTTTCTTGCCAGCCAGAAACCACTGCGGTGCCGCCCCTCCGGGCATGCTCAGTGCTCTGGCCCGACTTTGACCACCCCCAGGCAGCAATCTACCAACCGAGTGAGCAAGTCCCCAGTGCCCGGGTCCCTTTAAAACTGGCTGGCCTGTTGCCAGGCAACAGTGCGGCCTGAGCTGGCGCTGCACTGCAGAGGCTCTGGCCAGAGCGGGCCAGTGGATCGCTGTGGCCAGCGCCTAAGGAGGGGCTGCCGCCTGTCGGTCGTGGCGGGCCTTTGGGAAGAGAGACAAGGATCCTCCGACCGCACCCACACTTCCAGGTAAGTCTGCAGAAGGGAACTCCTGGGCTACGCCGGGCTTCTCACTCTTCCCCTGACTGGGGGCTCAAGAGGACGGGGAGCTGAGACAGACCCCGGCTGCCCATTCCTTTTCTCTTTAGAGCCCCTCGTTCCAGCTGCGAGCTTTTCGAAGGAAGAGGGTAAGGGATTTGAGGAGGGGGGTAGGGGGCGGGTGAAGGAGTGGGTCAAACCTGGCCAGTCTCCCACCAGCAACAGGGTCAGGACCGGGGAGGTGGAACAGTCACCTGCGGTGGGGGCTCCGGCAGCGCCCCAACTCCGGCCACCTTTTCTCTGGTGGGAGTACTGACTGACAAAGAGTTTCAGTTAACCATTCACAGAGAAAACCCTTGAACTATGCATACAAAGATACAGCTTTATAGCAGGAATGTGACTCCCCTACTAAGACAGTCTCAGCCTTTGGAATTAAGGTGACTCTGTATCTTTTCTTCTAGTAAGAGTAACTTCAAATGACCAAAGATTGGGGTAGTAACTATGCAGGGGACCCAGTTTTCAGTGGTACGTTGCTTCTGTCTTACTTTCTGCCAAACAATAGAGAAGACAATTTGTCTGGGAAGTGAACATTTGGCCCATATGTTAGAACTCCGAACAATTAAGGCAAAATTCAGAATCACTTCCTTTTCAAATTATTTTTCAAATTAACTGCATGCTAAAGGGGGCCAAGACCTAGACTGAACTCTTTGCTGAAGTGCTCTTGACTTGCTCATGAATTACAGACATACTGCTGCCTCTGCCACTGGTGGCTCTTTTATCCAATAGATTTTAAAGTGAGGAGATTCTGGGTTTCAATAAAATGTCACCATGGTGCTTGGCCAACTTGACTTTTGCATTGCTCCAAGAAGGAAGACTTTGTGGATAATAGTTGGAAAAACACTAACTTAAAACTTAAAAGAAAAACACTACCTCTGAGTGTATAGCACATGAATAATAAGACAAAGACATTCTCATTGTGTCACTTGTGCCTTTAATGTACATCTCAGGCATAAACATGGGTTTGGGCATTCCAATTATATATATATATTTCCTTTTTGGGGGTGAACCAGGGATTGAACTCAGGCCCTTGAGCTTGCCAAGGAAGCGCTTTTTCCACTGAGCCATCTCCCTGGTCCCTATATTTTCTGATTATACTAATGGGTGGAATTTCTTTTTCCAGTTCAAGCTGGAAAAGTGCACCAACACTCAGTGTAAGATCTTGGGCATCACAAAGGGTAAATGTAGTAGTATTGGCTGGTGTCTTGTATCTCAGGGCAGCCCCTCACCTAGCATAAACATTCAAATTTGTAATCACAGTGTCAACCTGCATTGTCAGTGCACTGTTTAAGAAGACCTCATAAAAATGCAAAAGGAAAAGTTCTGCCCCCAAAGTTTACTTAAGCCAAATATATTTCCGGGGAAAAATAAAAAAACAAAATGCTTCATCAGCTAGAGAAGAAACTACCAATTTTTCCCCTTTGAAAACCTCAATTAAAATCAAAGTGTTATATGTTTTTCAGGAAGTACCTTAAGGATCATTCATACAACAAACTTCATGGAGGGCCATTATATGCCAAGTGATAGGGATGCAAAGACAAATAAGATGCCAGGTGGGAAAAATAGATGCCAGGTGATCACAACCTGGTGTGTGTATATATTGAAGGTCTGTAGGAAATGTTTTAAAAGCACAGGATAAAAACTCAGAGTGCAAAGTCATCCTTGCTTCCCTCAAAGCAATTGTAACATTTCAAACAAGTTTTCGGTGGCTCTGAAAACACGGAGGTTTAGAAATTTTTTGGTAAAGCTGTTGGTAAAAAATGCCACTATCTTATGTTATAGGGAAGACTAGCCCTTTACTGCTTAGATTGAACTAATTTCCCATTAGAAATCTGGGCATATCAACAACTAGAGGATGATAGTCATGGGGTACTTCTTCCCTGGGAATGCAGATTGAATCAATTTATAATTAGAGCCCAGTTTCCTTGTTTTAAAGTACCTACTTTTTGTGTGTTACTGGACTTTGACCCCAGGGCCTTGTATATGCTAAGCTTGTATAAACTCTGCTGCTGAGCTCCACCCTGTGACGAGAGCCTACAGGGTTTTTTCCAAACTGAATTTTTCTGAGATCTGCTGACTCAGTTGGGCAACTTAGAAGCACTAAGCTTTGGAGACAATTTGTTTGCTTAAATGCCTAATTTGTTAGAAAGAAGAGAAAGGAATAAAAAGCACAAAGAACCTCCTAAAAAAGAAAAAAAGCTCATTGTTTCGAAGGCCATAAAACTTGAGTCCATTTTAATTCTTTTCTCATAATCACCTGTGAAATCTCTTTCCTATTTTTGTACCTGAAGAATCTGAGTCTCTCAGAAGACTTAAGTGTAATAGTTCTAAAATGTGAAACTCAAGATATCTGACCTCTTCAGTCCTTTTTTCCCACCATAATCCATACACAATCCTTTGTCAAGAATTTCCTCAAAGTCTTTTCTTTCCCACAACTTTTCCCAGTAAAGCATATTTGACTTCAGAGAGTTCATCTGGGTCCTCGTCCTGGTATTGGATGATGTTGTGCAAGTGGGTGGGAGAGGGTGGAGCGGGGCTTCCTTTGTAGCAGATTTCTTTCCTATTTGGGCCAGTTTTTCTGAGGTCAAGAGAACTGAAAACATCCAAGAATAAAGGGAGCCAGTTGCTTGGGCAAAGAGAGGCCCTTTGTCTTCACCTTACTGCCCCCAGGCAGTGACTCAAAACCCAGCCTTTAGCTGAATGGCTGAGGGGAGTCACAGAAGTTTGCTCTTCGAGGATTGGAGCTCACCTTTTACAGCCACCATTCCCAGTTTACAAAAGTTTGGGAGCAAGGGCCCTTTTGAGGTGGGCAAAGGCCTCTGGCATTCTTGCAGAGCTGTTTCCATCTGCAAAACAATGACAGGGTTAGCTATATGCAAAGAGACAGCCCTGAAATTTAAAACCAAATCCTGAAGTAAATAGGATAAGGCAACAGAGAAAATCTATTTGACTTAGGGCAGCAGATTTCCTCAAAGTGTATAATTTAAAATAAAATAATTTAGAAAACAAAAAGCTAAATTTCACCATCACCTTAATATAAGCATATTCTGGAGCTTTCCACCTTCAAGTTGACAGTGAGGTGGTTCTATGGATTTCTTTTTTTCTTTCCTTCCTTCTTTTTGTATTTTTGAGACAGGGTCTTGCCCTGATGTTGAGGCTGACCTTGAGTTCACTTTGTAGTCTAGGCTGGTCTCAAACTTACAAGCCTGGTTAAAATAGTTTTTTCCCTTTTTTGGTGCCAAGAATTGAAGTTAGGACTTTATACTTGCCAGGCAGGCATTTATGCCACTGATCTATCTCCCTGGCCCTCTCCTTAATGATAAACAGTAGTGTATTATTTTTCTGGAGCTGTTTATAACATTTATGTTACATCATATTACATTTTAAATTCATTTTGTCAGTAGTTCCCAAATTGTTTTGTAGAACTCCTGGGCTGCAGTGATCCTCCTGTCTCAGCCTCATGAGTAACCAAATTATTTAAATAAATGTAGACCACTTCCATGGGATAAGAAATCTTTTAGTCCACAAAAAATATCCTACTAATTTGCCACAGCAAAGAAATCACTAATTTTTTGTTATTTTGTTTTTGCTACACAAGATTATATTGTTTTTCTCTCTGTATTCTGGCTTCTTTCTTTATGCTTTTTACTTCTCTTGGTCTCTTTTTTTACCCTCCCTTTCCATTATTCAGTGTGCAATGTAGAATTAGTTGGGTACTTATAATAACCAGTGTTCACAATTGCTCGGATAAAAGATCAGGCTCAACTTTCAATAATGGCTCCTGTTTTGATTTGACTACTGCCACAATGAATTACCTAGTTAAGTTTATTGAGAACAAAATGGCTGTTAGGCCAGAGTGGAGGAATGTCATTATTTCAAAGCATATTCCTTGTCCTTGCCAGAGAGTGCTAATGCCATACTTGTTCTGCATAAAAAACAAACAGTGAAATTGGCAAAGAGAAAATGCGGCTGGCAGCTTTTACCCCTAATCTGGGCTTTGCCATACTGTGAATAAATTTGGGAAGGTGCCCTTAAAAGCAATCTAGAGAGAGAGAGAGAGAGAGAGAGAGAGAGAGAGAGAGAGAAGAGAGCTGGAGCCAGGCAGCTCAAAGACCCCTTGACCCTGCCCTGTGTAAGCCATAGGAGGGAAATTCCAAAAGGCTTTTCAAATCTTTCTCTTCTGTCCTTTGAAATGTGACATGCACTTCTCCTTACCCCCCCCCCTCATTTTTCCACTCTCTTTTTGTGGCCCTTTAAAAGATACCTAAGCTCTTAGAATAGTGGGTTGTTTCCTTTCAGTTTGTGGGTTGAAACCTAGCAGTTTTAGAACAGGCCCTGACCTGGGAGATGGGATCTCAATTTTTTTCCACCGCAGGCTGTGTGGCCTTGGTCAAATCACTTGATTTCCTGAGCCTGAGTTAGAAAAGAGCTGGAGTCTTCCAACTTCTGTGAAAAGGACAGCCTCTGTAGGGTGTGCTAAAATAGGCTTTCCTTCTAGATGTCCAGGAAATGCTATGGAAACCATGAAGAAAGGCAGTGTGTGTGTGTGTGTGTGTGTGTGTGTGTGTGTGTGTGTGTCTGTGTCTGTGTCCAGGGATTTATAGGAAAGTTGGACATAAAAATCATATTTTCAATGAGTGAAATTATTAATGAAGAGAGTTTTCTATGATAACTCCTAAATATGCCTAAATATAACTCCTAATTAGACCTTTCAGGTGTTCATCACTACTGTCTTCAAGGACAATGTGAGGAGCCTCACCTTACTTGTTCCTGCGCTTACTGATCAACACTACCCATGTCTTTCATGAAGACTTAGGTAGTAGAAGGAATTATAATCTCTTTGTTATTGTTACCTGGTTCGGAGCATTTTAATCCTTTACAGAATAGGTAAAAATTTAACTGCTAAAAAATGTAACTGACAAATACTATTGCTC